ACTCTCAACCTGTTTTCTTATCTGTAAAATGTAAATAGCAAATATTCTGTCACAGTACATACAATTCTCCAAACCAATGCAATACGTTCTAATTATTTCATAAGACAGGCAATTCTCCAAATGTTTGCCACACAGTGCTGTGACTATTGTCTGTACACTTCCCGAGTGGCCGACAACCCACAGATGTCAATAAACGCTTGGTTTTCATGAACATTTAACTCAGATATTAGAATAGCCTCTGCATGTTAGACAAAAATGGTTGAGAACAAGGAGCTGGTTTATCCTTCTTTTCTCCCTTCAGTTGAATTTGACTTGACAAATGTGAAGTAGCACCTCGTTTTCAATCTTCTGTTAATCTTTCTTATTCACTCCCTACAACTGACCCAGAACCCTGTCACTGGGAAAAAGAGAGAGGAGGGTCTCTCCAAGCTGTCATGAATATACGGAAGAGATGTAACAGAAAATATGGATCTAGTGGGGAGAGATACTGTCATCTACAATAGGTGTGTGTGTGTGTGTGTGTTTGTGTGTGTGTGTGTGTGTGTGTACGTACGTACTTACCACTGAACCCTCACATGGAGTTAATCATTCAAAGTCCAAGATAGTGCTTGGAAAACAACAGTGTCAGGTATGGACAAATGGCAAAGTAACAGATTCTGGGAATTAAGCATGATTCTTAAAATGATGTAATAATATTGCAAACGCCCAATCACTCCAATCCTGTCTGAATTAGACACAGAACTCAGGGAACCTCCATCCAGAGAACATTCCCTTTCCAGTTTGAAAAGCTGTGTTCGACTGTGCACTTCCTGACCTCTTATTCACTCCACGGTATTTGCTACTGGGAAACAAAAAGCAGATTCCCCCTTGCCTCTCCTAAAACTCTCAGAGTCTTGCTTATTTTGCTGGTCTCTGGATCAAATTTGCTCTACAAGGAAAGGAAACTAGATTTCCCTTCAGGATCTACAGGACTGTCCATGCGAAAGGCTCCCATCAGGCTATAGTACTGAGTCTAAACTAGAAGCTTACAAGGACAACCAATCAGCAGTGTGTTAAAATCTTCTGGAACAGTGAATTAGGTTGATTACTGTGCTGTCACTGCCTCTCGTGATTTGATTGGAGAAACTTAATGCCAGACAGGTGGCTAGAGAGACAGGGACAAGGAGGGCGGGAAGAGAGGTTGGGGGAGGAGGTAGGGAGGAGGAGGGGAGGGAGAGAATTTGGACTCAAAGTTTCAAAGGAAAGGCATTTTGTAAAGAAATGAAATAAAAGTAATAAGCAGATATTTCAGATATAAATTGGTCACCTATAAATTATATAAATGGCAAGCCTAATACATCCCAGATAGAGCCACACAAAATTGTCTTCGGTTTACAATAAAGGTCAATGTATACGAAGGTATCTGTTCAAGTATAGGGCGAGGGCATAGAGTTATAGTAGTTATATTTTAAAGAAAACCCAATTTTTAAAAATAAAATAAAACATAAAAGACAACATGAAAGTCAAGGAAAATCCAGTAAACAAGGAGTAGAAAACAAGGGAAGCGCAGTACATCTAGTCCTTAAGTCTAGAGAAAGAAGGTCGCTGGTGTCACATATTTCTTGGGATCTGAGTCTACATGTTGTTGTAACCTCTTGCTCTTTCCCCAAACACACACGTAAACCATCCAAATCTCAGACTTTCCCTGTTGTTTGTTTTTTCTTCCGTGCTTGTGATTTTTACTTTTTTTCATTTTTGCCTTTTACTTGAGCCAAAAATACCTGCTCCCCTATCACGTTTCACATCAGGGATGGACCCATGCCAGAGAGGGATTGACCCAGGGGAGTCCTTCATCTCAGCTGAATCTTCTACATTCCTTTCTCCCGGGGGTGTTTTGTTTTGTTTTGTTTTGTTTTGTTTCGTTTAACTTCTGGCTCCATCTGTCTGATTTTCCAAACTTTCTTATTCCATGAATCTCAGGGTATTTAAAGTCTTAACTCTTTAGACTGTCTATTCTCTTAACATTTAATTTAAAGTTAGTGGTCTTAGTTTTTACTTTCCTATGACCTCAAACAGCAGATGTAACTGATACCAATTCCCACATCAGACGCATCCAGCAGAACAAGTTAACGATCCACAGAACGAGAAGAAAGTACAGACTTGCTATGTAAAAACTCTCTGGAGAGAGAGATGGATTATCCTGATTCTGATCACTAATCCAGGAGGTACCACAGTGCTACAGGCTAGGGTTCTAGGCATACAGAAATTCTTTATCCTAAATGTAGGTCAAATCTTCTGAAGTCAAGAGTCATTTTTCTCTCATATTGTATACCTCCTGGGATAAATTAATATCTATGGTTTAATCAATTTCTTCTTGAAATGGAAGACAATTAAAAATGGGTTAATGTCAGTTTATGAGATTCATCCAAAGGTTTACTTTAAACTTATTTAGGTGATGGGAAAGATATCAAAATGTATGTTTTAGTAAAAGCCCTAAAGACATAATTCAAAGCATAAATACAAAGCTAAGTAGCTATCCTAAAATTACTTGTAGGGTTTATGCATTCTAAAATTTCTAATGGAAGACTGCAATACCAAAAGCTACCGAAATAAAGTGAACATAGAATGTGGATCTTAAAACATTAGCTCTATGTGCATATCTATCACTGAACTCAGTTATATAAAGTAGAATATTATCTAGCATTCAACCTTTCAAAAGAAGATAGATGCTCTGGAATGGAGGCAATCAAAAATGATACAGTCAGGGTGAAATATTTGTCTTAAGCCTACTTTTATTATCTTAGCATGGGCATAAACATTGGAAAGCACCATTTCCCAAACAAGAGCTAATCTAAGACCTGACAATAATTCAATTTCTAAAACTAAAATTATACTTGTCTATCAATTTTCACATTGGTCAGCATCAAACCTTTTGCCTAAAATGATTTTACTGTATGCAGGTATATATCATCTGTCTGAACCACAGTGGTAAGTTTAGTGGCGGTGACACTTTCAAAGCTGATTCTAACCATTTCTTTGAAATCTGTTTGCTTTAGAATTATACTTAGCAATAAGAAATATATATATTTGTTTTACATCAAATATGTGAATTTTATAATCTGGAATCTCAGGTAATAATTTCTACATGATGACTGATGTAAACAAGACTTAGGGTCTCCAGTTAGTTGTCTTTTTAAAAAGATAAGGTTTTAATGATTCATTACACTGAATAAAGATATAGGTTCTAGTTTCTTATTTGTTCCCTTTTTTGCTTAATATATACTATCGGTGCTCTCATAACATACATTTTACCAATAGGGAAATTTAGACAGAGATTGCATAAAAGACTGGACCTCGCAGACATAATTTACACTGGGAGAAGAGGCAGAAGGAATACGATGAAAAATGCAAACCTGGACTCTAAAACTCCCCAAGCTTACCTGTAGAACACCCCTACTAGTGAGAGAAAAGTGATCAGCACCAAATAAGGAAAATCTTAAAATTTCTTCAAATCCAGATGAGCAATTAGAATTCAATGATTGTGGATTATTACATAATTCAAAGACTTGCATTGTAATTTTTTTTAAAGTTTATTTACCTTGAAAGAGAGCGAGCGGGAGAAGGGCAGAAAGACAAAGACAGAGACAGAGACAGAGAGAGAAAGCTATTCCCAAGCAAGCTCCACACGGTCTGCACGGAGCCCAAAGCACAAACCATGAGATCATGACCTGAGCCGAAACCAAGAGTCGGACGCCCAGGTGCCCCGTGCATTGTGATTTTTTAAAAAACAACAGTTACTTTTTACCAAGTGCATGTTAGGTGCTATGCACTTGGGATCTCACTGGATCCTTCCTACTTTCATATTACCTGTGGGCAGACAGGTGAGGCGAGCTAACTAGATTGCTGCACTGTGGTAAAGTCATGATTTGAACCTGGTCTGTTCATGCTATGGGACTCTTTTAAAAAGTACTGGAAATTTCTCTCTTCTGCAAGAAGCTTTTTATGTATATTTAATTCCTACTGTAGCAACAAAGAAACATATTTTCATCTAATGATTTATCTTTGGATTTATTGCTTTGGAGTTATTATTCTTTCCCAAGATTTAAATCCCTCTTTTGACAGATGGCTCAATAAGTTTGGTACCCACTCTTAAGTCCTTCCTAAAGATTCATGTGTAAATAGTTTTCCTTTTTGTCAAATAGGATGGACCCATACAATAAGTACAAATGTTTCCATCTTAAAAAGAACTAAATTCACTAGATCATCTTTTTTTTTTTTAATGTTTTATTTATTTCTAGGAGAGAGAGAGAGACAGCGTGAGCAGGGGAGGGTCAGAGAGAGAGGGAGTCACAGACTGAAACAGGCTCCAGGCTCTGAGCTGGCAGTCAGCACAGAGCCCGACGCGGGGCTCGAACCCACGAACCGCGAGATCATGACCCAAGCGAAATTCGGACGCTTAACTGACTAAGCCACCCAGGCGCCCCATCACTAGATCACCTTTATTTGTTCCCTCGCCATTTTCTGTAAATCCTTCCAGTCTATATTCCTATGAGGTTATCAGCCTCGCCACTTATTTGACCCTTTGCTTGATTATCAGCTGGTTAGAGGGTCCGATATTTTTTAAATGTACTTTGCGGGGACTCTAAAATATTATTTTTAACTTCAAACACAGCCATGTCGATCTGGCCACGGATTTAAGGAGACTGTTTTCAATGCCACATCCACTTTCTTTCAAACTGCTTCCTTCCTGACCCTGCTCAGTACCTTGACTCCCTGTCCACCTCTCTGAATGCTTTTCATTCCCGGTGACTAAAAGCTAAAGGCCCCCAAGACGAAAGCGGCTTGCTGCCCCCCAGCTCACAGGCAACCCTGGACGGGACGCAACTCCTTTGAGAAAGATCTTTTGTGAGGTCATGGACAAGAGGCCGGCCAAACGGACTGCACCTGACTCAAAAGCACAATCAGAGTGCACCTGCCAGACAGCCGCCCAAACCTGCTACAACGTCCACGCAGCTCTTTACCTGCTTCAGTGCCTCCCCGGGGCCTGCGGGCCGTGCAGTAACAGCAGTCCAAGATGACATAGTTAAGGACATTGAAGAACAGGCCAATAACTCCAGCACTGAGGACCAGCAGTGGCTCCTCTGTCTTCTGGGGGTTGATGTACCTTTTGACGGCTTCAACCAGGATGCTGAACATGAGCGCCACGGCGAAGATGGAGTTGCCGAATGCGCCCACCACGTCTGCCCGGAGGAAGCCAAACGTGCTCTTCCTGTGCCTGTGGATACTGCTGGCCCTCACGCCCAGCCACGCAATGATCATGGACACAAAGTGGGAGAGGACGGCGAACGCATCGGAGGCCAGCGAGAGGGAGTTGCCCATGTGGGCGATGACCAGCTCCATCACGAACATGAGGATGCTCACCGCGCACAGGAGGACTAATCGGAATCTTCTTCCCGAGTATCGCCCCATGGCGCCCCGCTCTCAGGCAGCTCCTCACCCTGCCCCGGGAGGGGTAACTCTCCTCTTCAGCCTTGCAGCACTTGTCATATTTGGAAATCATCTTTTATAGGCCGCTATAAAGCCATAAACCAGTTTAAAGGGCAATTAAGCAAGAGCTGTCACGTGAGTAGGGACTTCTGGAAATTGAAGGCATGGGCTTCTGATGCAGACTTGAGGGGCTTCTTCGGTTCCTTGTGTGCTTACATACAAAAGCCAGGAGGCTCTGGGTCTTTGAATCGGGCAGAAGTTCATCTGTGGCTTTGGCCTTTCCAGTCTAGGTGTGTGCAATAGCTACTCTGGTGAATCAAGCCATTTGACATAAACAATCAGGTCTTGTCTGCCTGGTGGGTAAAAACCATGAATTCTGTTACCTGTGTGTAACAGAGAACATTTTAAGGGTCTCTAATCTACATATCAGAGCTACAATAAGTCAAATCCAAAGACGAGGCTAGGGTGATTTTTCTACTGTCATGTCCATTGATCTGGAATAATAAGCACCCTACTTCCAAACATTCTCCACAAATAAGACAAGAAAAACAGTCCTCATGTTCAGAAAAGATAAAAAAAACACTTTTAAGCTGCTGGAGCGAAAGCCATGATCCCAGTTAGTTTCAGGAAAAAGCTAAATTGCAATAACTCGATTTAGCTGAGGCAAGGAAATTTTTTTTTGTTTTTAATCTTATCAGTGTGTTGCTTATAAATCATAATGATTTTCTGGGTCCGGAATACCTAAAACAGTAGCGGCCTCTATTGTTTTGAGTAGATTGCCTATAGTCAATCCTTTAGAGAAATGCGGATTAAAATTACTATGCCCAATCTTTTCTGAGTTTAAAAGGTCTGACTGTGATGGTTAATTTTATGTGTCCATTTGACTGAGCCACCAGGTGCTCAGACATTTGGTCAAACATCATTCTGAGAGTTTCTGTGAGGGTGTTTTGGGGATGAGATTGGTATTTGAATTGGGAGATTGAGTACCAGATTGGCCTTTCCTGATGTGAAGAGCCTCATGCACTCAGTGGAAGGCCTCAACAGAATTTCCCTCCTGCAAGAGAGAATTCGTCCTGCTTGCTGACCAACTTCAAGTGGGGACACTTGGCTTTCTACTGCCTTCAGGCTTAAGCTTTTCCTCGATCTTGAGCCTGTGGTCTTTCAGACCAGAACTACACCAGTGAATCCCCTCGTTCCCCGGCTTGCTGCTCACCTTGCAGATCTTGGGACTTCTCAGCCTCCCCGTGAGCCAAGTCCTTTTAATACATATTTCTATTTATATACACACCGTATTGATTTTATTCATCTGGGGGACACTGAGAGCTTAGATGCTGCCCTAATAATTTCCTCAGCATCTCAGAAATAATCTCCTAGTAAGCTGATGTTCTAACAGTGGGAGTTCGAATGCAACCAGATTATGAAAATTACTGCACTAACGCTACCTCACTCATCCCTTCATACAACAGATACTAAGTTCCTACATGTCAGACATGGTTCTAGACTCTGGGGAGACAGCTGTGTAAAACAGAGAAAAGTCTCCGCCCTCATGACGCCTACATTCTAGTGGGGAGAGAGAGATAATTAACAAATTAATCATAAAATCTACTGAATGTCAGATGGTAATAAGAATAATGGAAGCAGAGAAGAGGAGACAGCGTTGACATAGGGGTGGGGTGTTATTTTAAATGAAGTGGTGAGGGGTGTTTTGTTTCATGTTTGGGATAGTGATGATGTTGGGAAATGGGAAAGAATTGACTGAGATGTTTTTTGTTTTTGTTTTTTTAAACATTTATTTATTTTTGAGAGCCAGAGAGAGACAGAGTATGAGCAGGGAATGGGGTAGAGAGACACACAGGATCTGAAGCAGGCTCCATCCAGGCTCTGAGCTGTCAGCACAGAGCCCGACGTGGGGCTCGAACCCACCGACCGCGAGATCATGACCTGAGTCGAAGTCGGATGCTTAACTGACTGAGCCACCCAGGCGCCCTTGACTGAGATGTTCTTGAGTGAAGATCTGAAGGAAGGAAGAGCCTGAACCCTGAAGACACCTGAAAGGAGTTCTTTCTTCCGCAGAGGAAGCAGAGAGCATGGGGAGTTCAAGGAACAGGAAAGGAGCTCAGTGTGGTTGGAAAGGAGTGACTGAGGGAGAGAAACAGGATGTGGGGTCTGAGAGGCGATGGTGGGCAGGGAGAGTACGGTGTAGCCTTCTGAGATGGGGAAGCTGAACAGCGACAAGATCTAATTTACATTTTAAAAGAATCTTTGGATGCCCGGTTGAGATGGCATGAAAGCCGAGGCACCGGTTAGGAGACTATGGCAATAATCTAAACAAAAGACCAGTGACTTGGACCAGGTGTGAAGTGGGAACATACAGGCAGAACCGGCCACATAATTCATGGGCTTGGATACCAAATGAAAGCGCAAGGCCTTTTGTTGAAAAATTACTAGGAAATTTTAAACGGTGTGGTCACTATGAGAACTAGTATGCCAGTTCCTCGAAAAATTAAAAATAGAATTGCTGTTTGATCCAGTAAGTCTACATCCTGGTTCTAAAGCCAAAGAAAATTGGAAGCACGGTCTGTTCATCACAGCAGCACTATTCCTAGGAGCTTCTGTCCATTGACAGACAAAAGATAAAATGTGGTGTGTGTGTGTGTGTGTGTGTGTGTGCGCGCGTGCACATGCACATATGTATACATACAATGGAATATTATCTTAATTCTATTCTAACACATGTTACTACATAGACGGACCTTTGCAGGCACTATGCTATGTGAAATAAGCTCGGCACAAAAAGACTAATATTGAAGGATTCCACTTATATGAGCTCTGGAAGGCAGTCAAATTCATAGAAGCAAAAGTTAAAATGGTGGTTGCAGGGGCTGAGGGGAGGGGGACAGGAGGGGTCGTTTAATGAATACAGCTTCAGTTTTGCAAGATGGAAAAGTTCTGCTAATTGGCTACCCCAAAATGCAAATGTACTTAATACTGAAGCATACGCTAAAAAATGGTTACTATGGGGGCACCTGGGTGATTCAAGCCAGTTAAGCATCTGACTCGGCTCAGGTCTTGATCTCAGGGTCATTAGAGCCAATAGCACTTGCTGGGCAATTGGATGTGAAGTATGAAAGAGAACAGTCAAGGTGACATTAGGGATGTGGCCTGATGTTGCAAATGAGATGAAAGTAGGACAAAGGTGACAGCTGTAGCATTGGCGGGGGATGGTGGGGGAGCAAGGAACGGAAATAACATTGTTTGGTGTATCTATTAGACAGCCGGGCTGAGAGGCTATGTAGGGCACCAAGTGAGAAAGTTTGGAGTTCAGGGGAGACGGATAGGCTGGGAATATATGAACTTGAATGCTGGGGCGCCTGGGTGGCTCAGTTGGTTAAGCGTCCAACTTCAGCTCAGGTCATGATCTCGCAGTTCATGGGTTCGAGCCCCGTGTCGGGCTCTGTGCTGACAGCCAGCTCAGAGCCTGGAGCCTCGTTCGGATTCTGTGTCTCCCTCTCTCTCTGACCCTCCCCTGCTCACACTCTGTCTCTCTCTGTCTCAAAAATAAACTATAAAAAACTTAAAAAAAAAAAGAACTTGAATGCTGACAATATACTGTAGGAGGTCGCCAAGGAAACGAGAGAAAATTGGAAAAAGAAGAAAATACGAAGAGATGACAGAGAAGGAGCAGAGAGGCAGAAGGGAAAATAGGAGGGTGTAGTATTCTGAAGGCCAAGGAGGAATGTGTTTCAAAGAAGAGCGGGAATCAGCTGAGCCAAAAGCTGAGAGCAAGCGAAAGCGGGACTGGGAGCGGCGGCTCCAACTCACATTATAGATGCCGCTGGCGACCTCAACAAGAGGGCAAATGAAGTGGGTTCAAGAGAACAGACAGGGCATACGGGAGCTGGCAAGTACAGACAAGAGCTTTATGTTAAGACTAAAGGGATAGGGCATCAACAAAGTCGGGGAAGATAACAGCATGTTTGTAAACCGATGGAAAGGAGATCTGATGACACTTGCCGCGGGGACGCTGGAGTGCTCCCAGGGCAGGCGCCAGGAGCCGGGTTCTGGGGGGTGGGGGGGGGGGTTGTCCTCTGCCGCAAAAACCGTGGTGAAGGTGGAACGTGTGAACACACGAGAGGGTAGCCATGGTCGTGGGAGGTCTTGGTGTGTCTATTCTTTTTACTTCAAAAAATTTTTTTTAATGTTTGTTTATTTTTGAGAGACAGAGCATGAGTGGGGAGAGGAACAGAGAGAGAAGGAGACACAGAATCCAAAGCAGGCTCCAGGCTCCGAGCTGTCAGCAGAGATCAATACAGGGCTCGAACCCACAAACTGTAAGATCATGACCTGAGCCAAAGTCGGACACTTAACCGACTGAGCCACCCAGGCGCCCTCCTGGTGGGTCTTATCTTATGGTCTCTATCTTCTTAATGAAATCGAAATCGAGACGACCAACTCAAAGTCAGAAAGGGGAAGTCTGAAAAACTCGGGGGGAAAATGTAGGAAATAATTGTCCAGGAGAGAATGAACAAATGAAGGAAATATAGTGTAATGACATTTTTACCATGTAATACCAATGTTAGCACCGTCACCAGCGTGTATATCCCCCAAGCTCCTCACTCATTCAGCACATGTTTCCTAAACACAAAATTTGGTTTTGGTAACATACCTAAAATATACTGTGAGATATCCCTATTACATACTTACTTAAGAAAACATTTTTATATCATTTCAGTACTATGGACGTTTCAAACTCTTGAATCCCGCGGTAAAGTGGAACAGAGGCACCAGTTTCACATGGCCTGCTGAGAGACGGGAATGTGTTTGTCTGTGTGATTTCAAGCCTGGTGGTGTGGCAGGATTGGATGGACCTCAACCTCCAGCTCAAGTACAAGGCGGGTGTCAGCACACTGCTGTCGTCAGGGACGATCCCGCCTTGTCTCCGTGAGGGTCACGCAGGCAACGGCCCCCTCCTCACACTGTTCGGCCCCCGGTCACTGCCCCACTTCCCTGCGCACTCGATGGCCTGCTTTTGCAGCTGAACTAGACAACTTGGAGGAGATAAAGCCAAGAAGAGGGAAATCTCAGGTCTGGCTCTACTCACTACTGTCTGCTTGGGCACTTTGCACAGAGCAGGCGCTCAAATTTATTAAACAAATGGCTAACGCTTTCTAGATGCAGTGAAAGTGACAAGCGAAGGCCAGAAGATCTGGTAGTGGTAGCTGCGTCCCCAAACTTCCCATGCTCCTGACAACCCC